CATGGCACCACTAACATTTAAGGTCAAATGCAGAGGACAATTAGTGCAAAATCTTTTTTTCACTTGAATTTAAAGGGGGGGAGGGGATACAAAAATGTGGTTATAATGGAANTTAACCTAAAGTATTCTTTAATGTTTAAATAAAGCCTAATTAGTTTGTCTTTTTTGCACATCCTCCTATTAATATCTTTGGACATCCGGCACTAAACTGTTTTATTGTAGAGATCACTTACAGTATCTTATTGATATTTCATATTCTATATTTCTATCATTGACCTTCTACTTTCCCCCTATGAAAGTATGTACTCTAAATATTTGTATATGTTATCAAATATAACGTATCAACAGTACTCAAGTTGTAAAAAAAAAATCAGGGGGGATGGTGGATTTGATCATATGGGGACATAATTTGTGCTGATAACCCGCAGAGGGTGGGAGACCAACCAGCATAAAGATAATTATTATACTCCTAAAACAACATGCATGTTATGGATGTTCAGATACTCCTTTCATTGCTCTTGACCAAGTCACCTCAGAATTAGAGTCGGTCCCCGGGCTGCCATGGCACCACTAACATTTAGGGTCAAATGCAGAGGACAATTAGTGCAAAATCTTTTTTTCACTTTAATTTAAAGGGGGGGAGGGGATAAAAAAATGTGGTTATAATGGAAGTCTATGGTACAAATCTTGTAGGTTAACAGTCCCTCATTTATTATTAAGATGGATCAGCTGATTATACTAATAATAAAGTCAAAATAGTTTTTAGAATATTGAATTATAGTGTATTACTATTTTTTCAAAAAAGCAGTTACTGCTATACGATCAAAACTGGTATCTAAAGGGTTAATTTTGTATCGTGATTAATTAAATCATTATGTAAATTAAACACTTCATGAAAAAATTGATCTGTTTTTGTATTTTTTTCAAAATACAAAACAGATCCTGCATTTTAGCCATGCCTCATTTAGCTCTATTTGCTCTTTCCAGCCCTGTTTTTGCAATGCAGGATCTGTTTTGTATTTTGAAAAAAATACAAAAACAGATCAATTNTGGCGTCGTTTTTGTAAGAAATGTTCACTTCCGCATAAAAAATTCTCGGCACGTGACCTCCCGCGTGTGACGTAACACGGGGGACACAAGGGGGAGAGCGGCCGGTGTAACGTATTAATAAACAATGCTAATTTCGACACAGAAGAAGTTGAACATGAATATTCAAATGCATATGACGGACCACAACCTTATAATTATGAGCCTGCTAGGCGTCCAAGAGACCAGGAGCAGCCAAGGATTAGAAGAAATAACGGCCATCGGAGAAATTGAGCTGTGGTGTGTGGAGAACCAGTGGAGAACTGGGTAGCTATCTTGGTGAGTGACCGGCGTTAGCTACAGAATGTTAGCTAACGTCAAATCACAACATTGTAAAGTTAGCTATCATATATCAGGCTATAACTAAAGTAGCATTGATAATATAGTAACGTTACTGGCAGGACTGTTGATACTGATCCATAACAGAAACTAATGCGCAAGTATCAGCCGTATCTCGCGTTACCTAATGCAACTCCACACTACGGTGCTGTGTACCGGAGGAGAGACACGAGATACGGCTGATACTTGATGATCTGGCGGAGAAAGGTTGTGGAGCCTCCGTTGATATGTCGTTGTAAATGGGTTGATGGAAAGCAGGTGTGTAGTCGGGGAGGGTGCACAGCTGATTGCAGCAGGTGAGTGGAGGTTGAGCCGGGAGCCAGGAGTGACAGCCACCACGCACACACAAACAACACAGACAGGGGGAAACAAACAAACACACAAAGGAGACGGCTGGAGCAGTACAGCCACCACAGCGTTACCTAATGCAACTCCACACTATGTCTTACGGTGCCGTGTACCGGAGGGGAGAGAGAGAGAGCAGCGAAGGGGGGGGAGAGAGAAGTAATACGGTTTCCTGATAAAGCTGTGGAGAGTATGTGCTGCAGGGAGGTGGATGCACAACGCACCCAGGAACGAACGCTAGCTCCGGTCCTTTTTACTGTGGACTCGATGTCCTGACAGGCTGGTATTTGTGCAACCTGCACAAACACAATACTGCACCATGATTACAAATGGTGAAATACAATGTAAAACTACCGAAAAATACCAGCTCCTTAAAACACAACCGCTCTACTTAACGCAACTCTACTATACCCGCGGTCAGAGAGCGGAGATGTGTCCCCTGTGTGATGTAATATGACGCGTTTGACGTATGACCTTAAAAAAAAGCCGTTTTAAGACCAGAGCTCAAAATTGCTCCTTTCCCTCTGAATTCCTACCCTTATGTCTCGTAAAACATATCAAATCCTGCATTCACTTTTTTAATTGTAATTTTCAAGCAAGTTTAAGCATAAATGTAGAAAAAATAAAAACCTGCAAGATGCTCTTTAACTGAGATTCCATTGATACACAATTGCAATGATGTTTACACATTCATAAGAATAAAACTAGGAAATAAGTTTGTATTTTTTAAAGAAACCGCATTGCTTCCCATGCAAAGTAGTATCAGCCTAATTACAACCCGATCTTAGGAAAAACCACCATTGTTTCAAGTGTCTTAAATGTGAGACTTTATACTTTCAGTTTTTCTTTCTGCAACATTAATCTCTCAATATTTCTTTCTCTTTAAATGTAAAGTCCATTTTTGTTTATTTCTTCAATTTTGGTTTCCCTACAATAGTGGTGTAAATGACCGAGTTCAGATTAACATAGCAGTGCGAGTGCTCACCAGGTCAGAGGCCTTCTTAAAGTACTGCAGGGCTGTCTCGTTGTTCTGATGGAGATACTCGCTGCCTTCAGAGTACATCTGAAAAGGACACAAGGAGGGACAGATTAAATACAAATGCACTGCACCGCCCTCTAATAAACAGAAATGCCAAATCATCTCAGCAATATTTATGTTGGATTGAATATCTTGGGCTGCATCTCTCTGCTCTCCGACTCGTTCTTATTTCAGAATTGGAGACTTATTTATAATGTTTGCAAACTCAGAAGTGAAACAGATTGGTATCGAGAGACGATTTTGGACCAGCTGAAGTTGTTGTTATGGTCAGTACTCGAGTTGAGGGGGGATGGCATCCCCCCTGAAATAAAAACGGTCAAAATCATCCCCCTTCTAAAACTGCCATTCCCCCTTTCCATCCCTTATCTCATTTTATCAATGAACGTGGCACTGGTATTACTGCTATTTCAACATTAATTTTGCGCATTTTGAGTAAAATACTGTGGGCAAGGGAGCACGCACACACGCAATGACATTTTTACCAAGTCACTGACGCTATGCTAGAGGGCGCCAGAGCGCCGTGATGCGCCTGTTTGATCGATGCCAGAAGCGCAGGTAACGGTCATCACAATGGCCAAGCGACCAGGAGGACAACGCGATCTGAGGGACTTCATATTTAAAAATACTAAAAGTAACATTTCAGGTAAGTCAAGAGTCAGTAATCTTAGTAATTACTCATTACTTTACACACCAAAGGTGGAATCTATGGACATAGGCAGCAATAACAACTTAGTTTGGAGTTTAGCTACGTTTTTCTCTCGTGTTAGCTAGCTGGTAAGACTCAAAACTGTTGATGAAATGATACCACCAGCACCAGAAGAGCTGAAACCCCTCCTTCAAGCAGTGAACACTCTGGTCATCTCCACAGCTGAGTGTGAACGTGGGTTTAGTCAGATGAACATTTTAACCACAACTAGAAGCTCCCTAGAGGTAAAAAGCATGTCAGCCTTGCTTTTCATCAAGTGTGTTGGCCCTCCACTGAACAAGTTCAGACCAGAGGTATATGTCAAGAGTTGGCTTCAAAGCCATTGCTTAGCTAACAATCCGAAAGCAAGAGCCAGAAAAATTGAGACCAAAAAGCATGATTATGAAAATCTTTGGAAACTTCTATGAGATGGGGGAGAGTGGAGTAGGCAGCCATTGACAATATTGGTCCTATTTTGTATTATCTGTATAATCTTTTAATATATTTTCATATTTTGTAAACAATTTCAATTTGCACTTAATGCCCT